AAAAGCTATTTGCTTCGCAGAAGTTTCTTCTTTTTTCTATTGTTTTCGCAGGGAAAAAGAAGATCACGACGGCGAACAGAACAGAAATGCAAAGAGTTTCGTGGCTTGTCTTGTAATGCCAGAAAAAGCCGACCCTCTTAAAAAGGTCAACCCGGGACCAGCCACTCGCCCTGAGCTGGGTTTACAAAAACTGCAACCAAACTTAACCCTATTGCATGCTTCACCGTGTTTTGCCACGGTTAGATTATTTTTTCCCCTTAATAAAAGGACTGTATATATAGTTTTTATTTTTTAATCTGTTTTCGTAGTTAAAAAGATTTTAAAGTGGAAATAAAAAAAGTTTATGGATATAATCAGATAAACCGAGCATTATTGTATGTGTTAATAAATAAAAAAATAAATAATAAACGATAACTAAAATAAAATAAAAATTGAGATACACACACATAAAAATTGAGATACACACACACATATATGTATATATTAAGATATTTAATCTTACAAGATAATATATTTATTCATTTGTATTTGCTATATTTTTTATTAAAATAATTTTTTTTAACCAAACAATAATAAAACTAGACAAATATTAATTAATTGAATAAAATAAAAGATAAAAAATACAATGTAGGTCTACACATATTTAAAATATTATCTGTAAATTTTTTTTTCTCCTCTCCAAAACAAAGTTCATCAATAAAAAAGATCAAAAAAATTATAGATGAATAAAAAAAATATTTTTAAAATTTATGCATAAACAAAAAATAATTATTATTTAAAAAAGACTTCCTAAAGAGAGAGAGAGAGAGATGAGATATTAATCTAAATATAAATAAAATAAAAATTTGAATTTTTTTAAAAAGCATTAATTGAAAAAAAAAAAAAAAAAAAAGATAGATGCTGCTAGGCTTGACAAGTTAGACCAACCTGTTTAACCCATTTATCAAGGGCCCGCACCTTTTTGTTTTTGCTAAAAAAATCAGACGACACGTTATTTGACGTTGCCCAGATTCTAGTAGCTATGGTGGCTCGAGAATTAGGCTTCAATCTTTTCTTTTTTTTAATCTATAAACTTTTTTTCAATCCATTTTCAATCTAAAACAACAAAAAAAAACACTTTAAAAATCATGATAAATCTATTTATAGCCTTAAAAAACTAAAAAAACCACAAAAAATTGAAATTGTGAAAAATTGCTAAATTATAATTTGAGTAAAGTAAATAAAATAAAAAATAGATTAAATAAAAGGATTTTAAGTATTGTAATTGGATACAATAGAATAAAATATAAGATGTTATGATGTAAATTAAGAAAAAAAAAAGAATTGAAAGACAAAAATAAAAATGACAATAAATAAAGGCCAATGTGTAAATAGTAAATGTTAGACTATAAATGCTTCATTTTTTTTTTCTTATTTGGCCGTGAGTTGGAAACAAAGAGAGGGAGAAAAATTGTGTGATTTTTCTACTTAAATTCTCATTAATTTCACTAATTACAACGAGTAATTAGAGTGATTAACTTAATTAAACTATAATATCCCATATTGATGGGTGAGGAGTTGGTTGCTTGCTTATTGGTAGTGCTGATTGCCTATATGTTGTACGCATTTTGGAGCATGTAGACTGTCAGAAACAAAACTGTAAGAGGGACCTGGGTGGAAGCCTTGAAAATTGATGGACTGGGAGGGCCAAAGCGGACAATATATAACATGTTGGGCTAGGCTATTATATTTGGTATCAGAGCTGACCTCATTGGCTGTCTGATAGTGCCGACGGGGTCGTCAAGCTCCTTAAAGGGAGTGGATTGTAATATCACACATCGACGAGTGAGGAATTGGTTGCTTGCTTATTTGTAGTGTTGGTTGCCAACATATTGTATCTATTTTGGGGTTTGTGGGCTACCAGAAACAAAACCATAAGGGGAATTTGGGTGGAAGCCCTGAAAATGGATGGACTGGGAGGTCCAAAGCGGACAATATACAATATATTGGGCTAGTATGTTGGGCTAGACTATTACATAAACATCAAGAGGAGGTGATTTTAAAGTGGTGAATACATTGGAGGAAGGGTTTCAAGTTAGGGTTTGAAGAGGAAGGAGAAGAAAACTAGATTTTTCTTCCATTCTTTCCTTAAATCCTTATCAAAGTGAGGTAAATAACATGTTTCAAATGATTAATTTATCTAATTTTAGGTTTGATGAAGGATTATACAAAATTATAATTACGTGAAGTTGTGGTTTTATGTTATAATTTATGGGAATAATACAAATTATTTTTGAACCATGTTAGAAAGCATGAATTATGATTGAATAAGTGTTTAATTTTAAATAAAAAACTAAAATTATTTTTCCCCATTTTAATTGAATATTTGGCAAAAAGAGGAATAATTCAAGGGATTTGAGGTTTTAATATAATGTTTTGAAAAATATAGGAAGATAAAGTTTTATACATATTATTATATGAATGAAGTAAGAATTTTTCAAAGAGAAAAGAAAAATCTTCACTTCTTTCCCTAGGTTATTTTTAGCTAAATGGAGAAGAAAAATTAGAGAATGGAGTTCTAATAATATTATTGAGAAATCTTACCAAATTAAAAACAATTGATGTTGATAGGTTAAATTGAATAGGGACTTTTATGAAAAAAAAATAAGTAAATGATTCAAAAAGAAGGGTTTTATCCTCCTCAAATTAAAAGTCAATTAAGCTTAATCAAAGGGTGTTGGATTTAATAAAAAAATATATAATGGGTATTAGAATTTTACCGGTTCAAATTAATGAACAGTAACAAAGTAAATTTTATTGATACATAGGAGGCCACATGATCTAATCAGCAACAAGGGATCTCTTCATGCGCACAGACGCCATGTAGGTATTTGACACCTTGGATTAATTAATTAGTTTATATTTTTTTATTGTAGAAGAAATTTTCATAAATTGTATAATGCCCTGGTAAATAGAGCAAGCCTTGAAAAATTATTTCCTAATTGCTAGAATTAATGTCTAGTTGAATGGCCATGTTAAGAAAATTAACTTACGAATTAATGAGGTAATTACTCGATGTAAAACATATTAATTATAAAACTTTATTTTGAATTTAAATAGGCGGGTTTGTGAAAGACACTGTTGATATTTTTATCTTAGTGGATTTATCTCTATGTCCAGAAAAGAATCTATGAAACTAGAAATTTCAAAAAGAATTTATTCAGTAATAAGAAAATCACTTTAATGTATATGAATAGTTAATCCTTAATCAATTATTTATTAAAATGTGCAATTTTAATCTTGTTTAATGCGATTATGTTTTGAGGTGCATCGCACCCTCGATCTGGAAAGTAAATGCTTGAATAAATAAATTTGTTATGTGATTAATATAATTGAAAAAACTAATATTTTGTTGTAATATACTTTCATATCTGAGAATTATAATGTTAACTTATTATTTTATATATGATGTAATTTATAATGTTATTATTATTAAGTTGAATTATTGTTGGTTATACATATATTTTGAGCACAAATCCCTTAAAAAAGAAGAAGAGAAAGAGACAATGCATGTTATGAATTTATTAGCTTTTAACATAGTGTTATATAAAAAATAGAATTGAGATATTGAAATATGCTTGAGTTTTGAAAGTCACGAGTATTATGATTAATGTTACAGATTGAGGAATTATTGAGTGATAACTCGGTATCTAAAAAACACAAAGGAAATTTTGCCAAAATTTTAAGAAAATACATAGATAAAAAATAAAATAAAATTGGTAACCATGAATATATGTTATATAATTTAAGTTTACAAGTTGGAGACTGCTGTAGAAATCAACTCGAAACCAAAAATCAAACCAAGCTCAAATATGTTTTTTTCAAGGCATAAAAACACCTAATATGAACTTTTTTTATCAAATGGAATTATTTGACACAAATATCAACTATTCTGGTGATTTAAATTAATGTCGATAATATTTTTTTTTTTACCATTAAAATTCGATGACCTTTTTCTCTCTTCTCTACCTAGAAACTGAAAAATATCAAAAATAAGCTTTCGTACCAAAACAGAACTATGAAAATCTTGAGGTATCTAAATTGTATAATTTATGTTATTTTTGAAATTCGGGGACTAAAGTGTATTTATTGCTCAAACTTTTGGCAAGCCACCATGCATTTTTCATTCCATTCCCTCTTTGTTCAACTCTATGTTTTCCTAAAATATCACAATTAATTGGACTTCAATTAGGACTAAATAAAAAAAAATTGAGGAACAAAATGAATGTTTGACAAATACACAGTGCACCACAATTTCATCCACAGTTATTTGTGCGTGCATGAACAATAATTGCCTCTGCAGTAAAAAATCCCGCGCATTTAGTCCAAAATTAACTCTTGAACATCTCAGTAGATTAACATAATTAACCTAATTTGACTTTTTTATTGGCAAAACAAAATCATTTTAAGTTTTCTTTTTAAATAAAAATAAAATAACTTTATTCAATTGACTTGAATCAACCTACACGTTAGCCTATACAAACCCATGATACAGGTCTTTAACCAAGTCCTAGGCTCAGCTTAATTACCATGGATATACATCAACCCAAGAAAAAAAGATTCACAAGCTGATTTCTATGGTGATAAAGGTGGAACCACGGTTTTGGAAGCTGATGTGTTATAAAAGGTGCAACAGTAATCCTTGGTTCAAATACGTTTCAACGTTTCCGATGCAAGAAAATATTGCCGTTCTGTCAAAACAATTAAAATCCCTATGGAATGAATGGTGGAAGAGCATTGACATTCATACCATTCAAAACCAGAATAAAAACTTGTGGTGCTATATTTTGAAATAGAAAAATATTTCCTTTTGTTTTTTATTAAAATTATTTTTAAAATTATCATATCAAAACAATCCAAAATATAAAAAAAAATATTATTTTATAGCAAAACAAAAAAAATTAAATTTTTTGAAAACATGAATTAGCCCAATGCTCTCTAAGAAAAACACCGCATGTTGCATCGCTTGTTGCATCTATAAGCTCTGAGTTTGAAACCATCACAATTGCTCAATGAGGTAAACTTCACTGGAAGTTGTTTGATCAGTTCTCCGATGAACTTTGAGCAGAAAACTGGACTCATTTACCACAACAAAGCTGTTATTGTTAATAAGCGAAGTCACTCGAATTTTCCCAGCACCAGAGATTCAAGCTTTTGTAACCAATTCACATATTGACCGAGCTCCTTCTTGTGTAGGTGTAAGAGGAGGAAGTTAGTTAGGTTTTCACCAATACCCTTGGCTATCAAGTATCCCTTGAGTGCATCTTGTAAATCAGTGTCCAAATCACTGCAGATATATGAAGATAAGAATTAAGTGAGACGAACATGTCCTCAAGCATAAAAGAAGATATCTCAAGTAACCAGTGGAATCGGGTTTCATTATTACTGGAAATGATATTGCAATAAAGGCATCATAGACAAATTCCAAGAACAGATTAATTTTAGTTCCAAAGTTACACTTAGTTGATTTGGAATTTGAAGTGCAGTTAGAATCCGCATTCAACAACATTGAAATGCACAAGAATTATATAAATCCATGTATGCATCAAAACCAAAACATCACTCAATATAATCCTGGTTTTTACTCAGACTACCATAAGCTACAGTACAGTCTCTAAATGGATGTCATTACCTAGAAAAACTGCTACAAAGGATGACCCCCCGGATGTTATATTGAATCCTTCTTTTTGTCCAGGATCTAAAATAAAAAAGACTTAGCTTGCCTGCCAGATACAATTTTTCCATTCAAGACTTGAAAAACATGTTACACTTTTGGTTTCTAGCTTCTGCAGATAACAGCAAAAAATAAATACCAAATCACGATACACATTTGGAATAAATGCCTCAACACACCAACTCTCAAGATCACTAGGTAAAGTCAAAGCACACTATCTAGTGAAAAGAAAATGGATAAAGCTAAAGATGAAAAGGAATGACCCTTGAGGTTAATCCTTGACCCTTTTTGGCATAATGCACAGATTTCCCCCATTGATCTACTGAATACTGGATATTCAATCCAACATAAACTGCTTCGAGGCATCCAATCAGGTTAAGGGAAAAGGTGGGACTAAGGTATCTCTTAGGTTAAGTTTTCGCAATTAAGAATGCAACCTAACATGCTAGAAAGTGCAAAGGAATAATGGGAAGACATGGACCAAACCACGAGATGTGATTGCTGAGAAAGAAAGAATAACGAATAGCAGGATATCATAGAAGGCAGCCATTTCAAAAAGACTTGCCTTAAACTAGACAAATTATAACTTGGGATTCACCTTCAAGGTTTGCATAAAGCTAAAAATCCCTTTCAACTTTTAGATAAAGAAAACAGAATATATCCTTTGCAAAGAGCTATAAATTCCTTTCAACTTTTAGACAAAGAAAACAGAATATATCCTTGAAAATCATCATAATCAGAACGCGATGCTAGCCTTGCTCCCAAGGGAAACTCATCTAGATTCACATAGATGTATAAAAATCTGTTTCAGAGATCTCATCTTAAACCAAAATCCAACCACTATTTTCCCCAGTAAGGCCCATTTGAATTTAGAAACTGATTTCCCCAACGCAAAACATTTTTTCTCTGAAAATATGAACGTTCATATATCCAGCAATGTTCTTGTCATTCATGCCATCTACTTCAATCAATGATCATATCTCAGACAATTATTCAAAAAATGGGAATGACAGGAATGCAAATATTACACACATACAACCAGCTTGGGAATTTTATCTACAATCTGCAAACTAACAAAAATACATAATATGGCTTGAAAAGTTTACCTGAATGAAGGACCTCTGTAAGCTGACGGCTTGGGACAGGTTGTTGTCGAGTGGAGATAATGTGCACTATAAATGTGAAACTGTGACCCACCTCTACCTTTCTCAGAAACCCCACAATCAAACTGTAAAACAGAGTTCAACCCAGGCTTCTTCACACACACCTTCATCAAAACTTCCCGTGGAAATATTCCTCCTTCTGCAAACATCTCCTGCCCCAACAAAGCCGAAACAGCAATCTCGTCACCCGACTCACATTTTCTCCGCAAAACCACATCTTGCGACTCCAATGAATCCCAGTCCACCTTAAAATCTCCCAAACTACCACTTTGATTGCCCTGAATCCATGTTAAAAACATATAAAATTAAAAAAACACAATTTCTTCAAGCTTGTAAAACAAACTCAGACCTCTTCTAATTAACAAAGCAGAAAAGTACATGTTTTTAGCAGTTGCTTTTCCACACAAATATACACTAACTAGCTCTGTGGTACCTTAACGCTAAACATATTATCAATACTCACAGAAGACTGAAAAGATTCCAACTTTACTTCAACTTTTAACACAAGCTCACATCTTTTTAATTCCACAACTGTCCTAACCACCAAACAAGTAATGGGTCATCACCCACGTTCTGCCACATGAGCATACCCTAACTAGCTTCGTTTTACTTTCTAACACTAAAACCCATCATCACATTTGCTTTCTTTTCATTTCTTAATAAATTCCAAACATCAAATGGTAAATCAAACACCAAGAAAATAAAGGGTTTGTTTATTAAGTGGAAACTAAAACCATTATCCAATACCCGGATGGAAAGACTAGCACAAAATTATGGGATTTTAAGAGAGAGACCTGGAAGGGAGTAGTTGAGAGTTCGTGTTTGATTTCGGACTGCAGGATTTTGACCAAGCCCAGATTCTCAAGTGCTTTGCGACCCTTCCGCAAGATTGGGGTCACCCGAGGCATTTCTTACAAGATTTTTAGCAGAAATTGCTACAGAAACTTGGTGTGCAGGATTATAAGTGTAGATTATTGCAGATGATGAGCCCAGGCTTACCTCTCGAGTCTTGCCAATAGAACGGCACCTGCTGAGATGGACTGTAAATGGGCATTTGAGTTTTAAGTTTTGTCTACTAGCAAGGTGGGCTTTTGACTATCATAAAAGATTCAATCTCGGAAATTAGATATCGTACAGTATTTTATAAAATTTTAATTATTTTTATATAAAATTAATTATTTTTTATATTGTTAAATTATTTTAATATGCTAATATTAAAAATATTTTTTTAAATATAAATAAATATTATTTTAATAAATTAAAAAAACATTTTAAAAAACAACTATAATATCAAATCTTAGTGTAATTAATTAATCATCTTAATGTATCATGAGTGTTTACACATTATTTTAACCTTCCTTTTACTGCCTTTTTTTTTTTTTATAGTGTCTTTTAAGAAAAAAAACAAAAGGCACCGATATTCTGACCATTGAACGTGTTTTTTTTTTTTTTTCTTGGGATTTTTTCATTGATTGATATAAGGTATCCTTCCTCGTTTAGGCATTCCATAAACTACATATCAATCCAAACCTATCATACATGGTAATAAATAATGACTTCTTAACTGCTGTCATGGTAGATTGAATTATTTATTTTTGTATTTTAAAAATATTTTTTTAAAAATTAAAATTTTTAGTAATTTTAAATTAATATATTCTTAATATTTTCAAATTATTTTGATGCATGGATATCAAAAATATTTTTTTAAAAATAAAAAATATTATTAACATATATTTTAATATAAAATACTATTTAAAAAAAAAGTACAATCACATTTTCAAAAAAACCTCTAAGCATACAAAGCAAGCTAATCACTAAACTGGTGATGGATCATGAAATGAAATATTTGTGTTTAAAGCATTATCAAGACTTAGCTTCTCACATCGCTGTTGCTGCCTAGTATCGTCTTCCACTATTTTCGAGAGCATTCTTTTTTCTAAGCCTTTTGGCATTTTGATGTGCACTGTCTTCAACCATCTTCACAAACCATGCAAATTCAGCTGTATCAGAGATTTAAGCTTCCTGAAGGACTCTGAAATCTTTCCCATGAATTTATTACAGGATAAATCAAGTGTTGTGAGGGCAATTTGAATTTTACTAGAAAAATTCTTGAAAAAAAGTGTCAAGAAATCTAGTTTTTTAAGGTTTCTAAGTGAGGATGGAATTTGACCATCAAACATGTTGCATGAGAGGTCCAACTTGATAAGTTATTAGAGGTTAGCAAAATCAACTGAAATTTTGCAAGTAAAATTATTGAACTAAAAACTTAACATATCGAGTCGGGTAAGGTTGAGAAAGACAATGAGAATATCACCAGTAAAATTGTTGTTTGAGAGATCCAATAGAGAGAGCTGCTCAAGATTTCCTAATGAGGATAAAGCATGACCATCCAAGTTGTTATATCAGAGTTCCAACTCAGTGAGTTGAGTGAGGTTAGAAAACTCATTCAGAATTTGACAAGTAAACTTATTGGTTGAGAGAAACAAGTGACTGAGCTGCTTAAGTTTTCTAAGAGAGAATGGAAGATGGTATTGGTAAAGATGGTATTGCTACCACATCAATTGTGTTTCATTAACAAAAACATCAAGAATTGGACCGAGAAAATACTTGTATAAAAGATCCACGTGCTCGAGTTGCTTAAGTTTTTCAAAAAAATAAAATTTTATTATTGAACTGATTATCTCCGAGTTCTATTAATTAAGGTTATATAATATAATTTATATTATTTTTTAATAAATTCTAACTTAATGAGTTGAGTGATCATACAATATTTGGAGAAGATAGCCATAGGTATGTGTAATCATGTTGAAAGATTAATTAATATAATCAAGTTTTAAGCCTTTAGTTCTTACCCTAATTATAGCTGTAAATCTTGAAATTTTGTTTCAAGTAACTTGCTTTGAAACTTGTAAAGGGGTGTTTTGCCTATGTTTTAATTGGAGTTTTCAAAAGATTTGATTTGTTTTTTTGTTTTTCAATGTTTTAATATATTAATACTAAAAATAAATTTCTAAAAAATAAAAAAATGTTATTTTAATATATTTCTAAAAAAAACATTTGTTATCACTGTTACATACAAAATAAACTTTAAAACAAACTTTTGTCCAGCTCTCGGCAGCAAACTAACCCTATAACACTGCCTCATTGCAAAACCCAAGAAAAGAAAAAGAAAATCAATAGTCAATTTTAGCTAATTTTTATTCATATACATTAATACACATACAAATCGCACATTAACAGACAAATTCCAAAGATTTTTATGATGTTTTTCAGTTGTTTTTTTGTTATTAATAACAATGTTATTTTGATTTAAAAAAGACAGAAGAAAGAAAAATCATTTTGACACGAGTTGATTTGACAAACCATGACCCGAGTTGGTCAGTAACTATGGTTATCAATGCAAACAAAAAAAAAAGTTTCTGTAAATATAAATCAAACTTGTACACAACCTTTGATGGCACAAGACACTGCTCTAGTCCAGATACGCAAGATGGTAAATACACACAGACAGAGACAATGGCCATGGGATCAAAAAGATGTCAACTTCAGCACAAAACAGAGAGTACAACAATAACTTATCCTCCAGTGCGTTAATCTGTTGTGGCAAGGGCTGATTGCAATACATCTTCGAGATACTTCTCGGCAGCAGCATACTGCCTTTTCTTGTCCTCAATGGCTAAAGTAGCTAAAGCTTTATCCTGGAGTAACAAAAAAGGAATGCATAAACCATCTTCTGTCCAGAAATGAGCGAGCTTAAATGCATGATAAAGATATCATATCAATCCGTGCATAGAATTACCGGAGGCAAGTCCTGATAACTCCTCAAAGTATCCACGATGGGTTTTGTCTTCTTCTCCAAATCTTGTCTGTGCTCAGCCATTTCTACCAGCATCCCATGGCTAATGTCTTGGGTGTAGCCCACACGATTAAGAAGTGCCTGCACGATAAGTGGATAATGTAAGACACACATTCAGTAACTTCCAATAACTAAAGCAAGCACAAAATTAGTCATCACTAAGGACAACCTATAACACGCAAGGAATTGAAAATGCTCATCAGCCTTAAGATCTTGAAGAAAAGATTACGTAGATGCCGGCCATGAAAGTCGAGATGGAACTCCTTTGCTTGATAATTAATACATAGGTAATCACTAATAATGTTTATCAAGGATAACAGATGGCAGTTTTGACTTTCATTATTACGTCTAAGTAAATTTTTTCCTGATGATAATAACAAAGAACAATTACCTTGTAGTTAGAGTACTGCTGCAAATATTGTCGCTCCTTTGATGCCATAACTGCTAAATTTGTCTTCCAATTCTCCATCTGAGCCTCGCAAGGAGGTATATCATCCTCTAGTTGTGCAAGTGTTCTAACAGAGAAGATCCAGAAAATAAGAAGAAAGATGAGCAGCAAAATAGATTGAAAGATGTGAGATCTGAAGCTGTTATAGAACAGAACTTATAATGTACTCAAAAGAGAAATCGAAGTCAAAGTTTTTATAAAGCACCTTTTTAAATAGGTAAGCCTGGCTATTGCCTTCCGTGTGTAATCAAGGAGAATTTTGGACTCCTTCTGTACTTTAGCTCTCTTCTCTTCTACTCCAGTCTTTCTTAAAGAAAGATCCCCCATTGCTACAAGAAAACTATTTGCATTTCTCCAGTTTAAACTCGTGACATTAAAAGACAAGAACAAAGATGCAAGTTAGTATCTAGAATGGCATCCCACCTGCTTAGTTCCGTGTCTCTTATATTCAAAAAGTTTGCTACATTTGCAAGAACTTGAGCTGATGAAACCACATTCGAGGGCAAACTCTCCTGTGCTAGTCCCACATTCTCCAGTATCTCTCTAATCCTTGCAGCTAGAGCCATGAAATTAACAAAATATTGCATCAAAGAAAAGTAAATGTACAATTCCAGATAAAATTTCACCCGGGAAAATCTTTTTCTCAGAAAAAAGAAACAGTAGTGGTCATTTGTATAAAGATGAACCATCACCTTTATAAGAATCATAAAACATGAGTATTACTAAAATCTGAAACTAGAAGAACCCATGTAATCAAATTATTGAAGAGAAAAAACATCCTATGTCAAACAATGGCTTCCAAAGACAAGAAATTAAAAATGTTCACGGGAAAGGAAGGCTATATTCAACAAGAAACCAAGCGCCCCAACAAAAGAAGAGAAATCAATCTATCGTCATCATTCTCAAACAATCATATTTCATACACATCAAAATCAAAACCCAACACAAGAAAACATAAACCCAATAAGCCAAACCAAACGCACACAGACAACAAAATCCAAAGACAAGACCTTGTGCATGATACTCCACAGCTTTCTGGCGAAAATCATTCGCAACAATGTTGGCAGCCTGTGTTTTCGCTTGCGAAGCAGTAGCTAAATTATATAAATGAGCAATGCTGCGTGGCGTATATTCGAATTCAGGAACATCTTTCCCTGCTGCATCAAATTGTGAGGCAAGCCACGCCTTCACTTCTGCAATTCTACCAGCATCATTACCACCACTCTTCGCCTCATTCACCGACATATTATCAACTCCAGAAATTAAATCACTCATATTTAATCTTTTTCTTTCTTTTTATGGGGTTTCCTTAAATTACACCACAAAACCTACACGAACAAAAGATGTACCAAAAAAGTTAACTTTCATAGATCCCATTATAGAACTCAAGCCCTAAAAATTGATTCAAACCATCTGGGCCGTTTTTATTTAGCTTAATATTGATAGAAACTCAATCATTTGTACTTAACTTCCAAATTGCACTATTTCTCCTAAAAATTACAGTTTAACCAAAATCTGACATGAAATAACTGATTCAAAGTGTAAGGAAGAAAGACCCTTAAAAGGAAAAGGTGAAACAGATCTCGAGAGAGAGACTGACCTTCGTTTGGCACCGAGTTGGATCAGTTTGCAAACAGCATTGGAGGCTTTAAAAGAGCGAACTTTACGGAAGAAGAAATCCGGGGAGAAATAAGTAACCAAAAATTATCTTTTATGAAGTCGCGAGAAATTTCAAATCTAAAAACTCGAGTGAGGTCCTGAGGAGTGGGA